TGCACAGCGTTGTGTTTTTCAGCACTGTGCTTGTTCATCCAATTTTTCAGCTGGACCAAGACACTCACAAGGTGGGATGACTCTCCCAAGCATGTATCGAGTCAGGCACATCATCAGAATTAGGAACCAGGTTCCTTCTGCTTCTGGCCACAGTTGCACACACAGACATCACTTGTCAGTTTTGCCAACAACAGCCATACAATTGCAGGTGTGTAGGACATCTTGAACGGCTCACTACTGCACAGGAGGAGCCAAGAAGAAAGTCTTTATGGAGAAGAGATGAGAAAGATAGATTTGAAAACCAAGAAACATAGAAAGAATTAATAAACCATCTTTCCACGAACGAGGCATTTACCTTTTTAATTATACATGCCTTTTATCTTGCGTACTGTACATAGTTTGCTAAGATTACGCTTTTGGGAGTTTTTGCCTAAGCCTTCCTTTTCAAAACAAATGCTTCAGTGCTTTTCTTTTGCAAATAAAATGATACCATTAGTTCAGTTCTGTTGAAGAGTTGGGCAGTAACAAACAATGTGCAGCAGCAATGCAGGAAGAAGAGAGGGAGGAAAAAGCAAATATTTGTTAAAAGCAGAAAAGGGGGAAAAAATATTTTCTAAACAGGCAAGAAGTAGCTCAGAAGCAAATTTTTAAATGTATTGTGAGGAAAAGCTTTTGTGACAGGAAAAAATAGTGATCTGACTACCCATTTTTCAGGAATAAATAAACAGTAAAACTGCTTTCATATATGAATAACACTTACATAAACCCACAGCAAGGGAACATGATTAAAAGTTGCCAAGATAAAGAGAAAAATAAGGAAATTCCAGAATTAAGGTTGCCTGAGAAGGCTTCATGTGGCTGGGTTGTGTGTATGCGTGACAAGGTGGTCTTTTAATTACCAAAATCACAAAATAATTTGCCCACAGGACCATCCTTGCAAAGGGTGTATGGATGGTTCTCAATCAAAACCTACCCTGTGTTTTGTTTTCCCCTTAGCAAGTGATCCTGTCCCTCATTTACAGCTTACTGTCCAAGCCCTGCTCTGAAAACTAATGCACTAGCATCTTCTGTGTGCTCTTCCAGATTGCTCATCACTGTAGCCTTGACTTTTTTTAAGAACTATGAAAGCATTTATGTTTACAAGAGCATTATGAGGGGAGAGCTGACTTGGCTCCATTTTAGACACAAGAGAAATTCATGTCAAAACATAGCTGCTAATTTTATGGGCCCATTTGAGGACGTCTGGCTTCTCAGGGTAAAACAGCATCAGGTTGTATGTCACATCTTTCAAAGTAGAGAGGTCAACATCTAGGTGCTTTAAGCATCAGATCGATGTGTCAAATCAACTGTCTTCCTTAAAACTTCTGTGTTTTGCTCATTAGCTGCCTACAGTAGAATTAGTCTCATCTGGTTTGTATCTGCCTTTGTCTTGTTGTGCAATTCTAGAGATGCTAGAGAAGACGAGCACATCTCGGGGTGAGACAGCAGGTACACTGTGACTGCCATCAGGAGACTGGCTTGGCCTGGATGTTTCCCTCTTTAAAACCAGCAAAAGCTAAGCAAGGGGAAGCCAGTCCCTGCTGGTTTGTTAAGTGCATCCTGCAGGAGGGGGCTACCAACTTTTGCCCCAGCCCTCCACAGCCTGTCTTTACGCTCACATCCTAGAAGCCCAGTTGGCCACCTCTCCTGTATTACCTGTCTTGTGGAACTATGGAGTTAATTCTGAAAACAACATCTGAAAGTCCTGTAAGTACCTTGAGGCTCATGCCCACTCTTAGTGTAATTCTGTGCATGAATCTCTCCCCAGGCGTTATGCTACTGATGTCCTGAAGGCATCATTATATTCCTGAAATCAAAGAAGCTGCATGTGGGAGGAAAATATAGACACAAAGTTCATCAGAACTCCATATGTCAGTAAAAGGTAAATAATCACAGGAGCAAATCACTGCTAGATAAGTCCTTAATTATTTAGAGTTAAACAGCAGCAGCATTACAGATGCAAAGTAATATTTTGTTCATCGCTCATCCTGGGAACACTTATACAGAAAAATATTATTCTGTACAAGAAAGGAAAGCAAGATGTGGATTGTGATGCTTAGAAACATTTTCAAATTAATAGGAAATAATTTTTAAAAGCATGAACAAAAAGATCTATCCAAAGCAAAAAAATAAAAGCTGTCACAAATTCTTTTTTTAAGTTAACAGTAGTTTCAGCTATTTCAAATATCTCCAGGATGCTTCTGCTAATTTCTGTTTGCCATTACATTTCCTTATTTTTCACCTTTCTTGTCCTACTGTATGAAAACCCTGCACTAAGCAAGGGAAAAACTGCCTAACTAGCAGTAGTGAGAGAGTGTAACTGACTAAGTGGTGACACAAAGAAAGTGCTTTTAAACTCACAGATAAAACTGGCTGGGAAGAAAAAAAAAAAGATATAAAAAAATTTCTTCAATTCCTTTCTTGCATATTCTGTCTTCCATAAAAAATAAGTAGTTTAAAAGTTTCTTGGGAAGGAAAAAAGAGTGGGTTTTTTTTGTTTTTTGTTTTTTATTAATAGCACCTCTCAAATAAGGAGGAAAAGGACATACAACATAAAAAAGGAAATTGGTCTTGCATTTATGAAATCATGTGCCATATTCTCAGCTGGTGCAAAATAGCAGTATTGTCCTTGCTTAGGGCTACAATTCCAATCTATATCAGCTGACAATCTGATCTAAAGAGCTTTCCTCTTATAAATATAAAAACATATTCAAACTCACCTCAATTTAGACATTAAGTGTACCAGATTGAAACTAGATTGAAGTCTCTTATTTCAAAATAGTTTTCAACCACTTGTTTCTCTATTTTATCTGATATTTTCTTTTATGGTCAGAAATAGCAGAAGAGGTAAACATGAAGTTTGCCAGATTTGCTATACCTTCAAGGTCTACTTACAAACTTTGATGTGTGCTTTATTAAAGCAGAGAGTGCTTGCACTGATATGAAACTGTTTAAAAGCTCTAGAGAACATCTATCCGTCTTCTCCATGAACCAAGTTCGCACATATATGCATAAACCAACCAAGCTTGCCTATATGACAGGGACAGAAAGACACCTTAACCTCCATGCTCACGTTCAGACTGGCATTTCAACTTCATGTAGATGGGTGCCAGGTTTTTGGGCAGTATCTCAGATTTTTAACTCTTCATCTGTGAGTGCTACTCTAAGAATTGTCTTGGAGA